TTAATTGAAATTTGAATTTGAGTCAAAATTGGACTGTAGGATAAATGAGAACTTTTTCTCCTTTGCTATCTGTAATTTGTGCCAACCACTGAGGGGAATATCCCTGTGGTGGCTAGTCCCTGTGGATAAGAGAGAGAGGGGATTTTATTTCTAAAATAAAATAGAAGTGGGAGATAATTATCAAGCTTTATCTTGAAGATAAAGTTTAGACTTTTTATGCAAGTCTGACAGCTACTCTATAAATAGGAGATTGCAGAAATTTGGAGAACACAATTTTTGCTTTCTCTAGCATATAATGGCCGGTTTTATAAAGTGAGGAAAAGGAAAATTTTCTCTCCGATTCCATGTTGTACATGTGTTGGTGTTCGTGGAAAATTTAAGTGTTTAAGTGCTAATCTCATTTTGTTTCAGGTATACCCACACACACATCTTCATAGATTCAAAAAATTGACGAGAAATATTTAGGTATTCTAAATAAGCTTGGAGCGAGGAACGTTCGGGGTCAAAGAACTCAAGTTATCGATCTAATAGTTTGCTAGGTGAATTTATTCATAAATTAATTTGATTAATCTATTCGTGCATAAATTAATGCATTTTATTGAGCATCTCAAATGTTTATTAAAATTTTTGTTATACACGATCCGCTAGATAAATACTTCCGCATAGACAATCGTTTTCAAAATCAACAATTTTCAAGATGCATGAAGATCAAATTAAGTTGGATAGTGTTTGAACATATATATCATGTGTATCCGAACTGACTTGGAAATAGAGGTGTCAAAAAGATCGTGTCGGCCTGGCCCGACCCTTTTTACCCATGTCCCATGACATGCATAGCACTCTACTGTAAAAGGCCGAGCCTAGGCCACAGAGAGATCCGCCCTAGCCTAGGCCGTTGTCTTTTAGGGTTAGGGCCGGCCCTTTAGGGCCTATTGGGCGGTCCTTTTCAAAATTTAATTCTTTTATTTTTTTTATATTTTAGATTTAATGATAAAAAAATAATATCATATACACTAAAAAAATGTGATTTTATTAAAATACGTAATATCATATGCCAAAAAAAAAATGTTAATCAGGGTCGGAAAGAAAAATTAATGTGTGATATATTATCAGATAAAATTAGTTCATAAAATACAAAAACTCATTATATATGAGTCATACTCGAAATAACTTGTAAAAATGTACCCGGTATTATACATGTCTTATTAAATACAAATATATATATATATTTATAATATTATATAATATATAGTAGATTTTTCTAAATTTAAGGATTTTATAATTGAAGTTTTCCGTAATTTTTTCTACTATTGACACCTCTACTCGAGAGAAAATTTTAAGGGGAAAAAAGGTGAGGAAAAGGTATTTACGTACTTTTGATTCTATTTTCCACTGACAGGATGATCTTCTTGTCGTTAAAATCTTAGCTGTCAACTTTTGCTCTCTGGTTTGGCGTCTCTGTCCATCTCTCTATTAATCTTTTAAAGAACCCCACATCCCCCAACCGCCAGTCTATCTCTTTAATATTTTCTTTTCTTTAGGGGTCAGTTTTTATATAAATATTCATGACACATATAATTAAGTACTGCAAGTGGTTATTTCCCACTGCCCTTTGCTTGAAGTGACAGTAAAAAGTATTTTTCTTATTATGGTACACATATATATACATACATATATATACATGCATATATATATGTATACATATATATACATGCATATATATATGTATACATATATATACATGCATATATATATATATATGTTTAGCAAGCGGTAGAAGATATGCATGTTGTGAAAGAATGTGATCTCCTGAGATCATCTGCGTAATGGGTTTGATATGAAAGACATAGACATGGACTTGAAATGTGTATAAATACTCGACCAGCATCTTCGCGTTGTAAGAAAATCAGACGAAAAAGAAGGAAAGATAAAAAATAAAAAAAAGAAGAAAAAAACAACACCTAATAAATAGGTTAGAGGACCTTGTCGGAACTATACTGTATACATTAATTCAATATAGCAATACAGAAATTCCTCCTTGGGAAAAGATTAAGAACTTGTTTATACTGGTTTTTATGAATTATCGCGCTCGAAGGGATCCTAGCAACTATGTGAAGTATTTTGAGGTAGATCTTACTTTTGCCTTACATTAATGCAAATATTTGTATGTTATATAATATATATATAGCATCGTACGATTTCTAGTTTCTAATCGTCAATGCCTTGTATTATTTACGTACTTAGCCAAATATGAGATGAAATTCGACTAGTTAATATTATTTGCAGTGGATCAACAAATTAAATAATTGCCTTCTTATACGCTTCTATCTGATATAAACGGTCCAAATATCACCAAGTTGTAATAATATGCTTCAACAAGTTCCAAATAGTATGAGTAACAAAACTAAATTAAGATTTTTAGTCATGATGATTATTTATTTATTCTCACTATATTTTGGGTTTTTCATTCCAATATTGGTGCGAGAGTAATTTCCTTTGTTTCTATTTATTTTTTTCCTCCTCCTTTCCCTGTCACGTTGGCATATATATGTATAACACACGGCAGCCTACATTATAAGTATCCATTTGGAGGAGAAAATTAAATGGACACAATGTCGCTACTTATTCCCACTTCCATACGACATATATATATCTATATATATCAAAGATATATTGACCTAGGGAAAAGAATAGTATTCAAGGCTCAGGCTAACCAGATTATTAAAGGCCAATATTGCCTCGGATTGCTACAAGAATTTCCATTAATCTCAAAGTAACTCCTATTATCAAATGATTAGGAAATCGATGCAAACACAACAAAGTCTATTACTAGAATTCTTAGGAAATAAATTTGACGTCCACCCTCTAAAGGGTTAAAAGGGAAAAATCTATGATTTATTCGTCTAAAATGGAGGGGGAAATAGCTAGCTATATATGATTTATTCGTCTAAAATGAAGGGGAAATTTAAAAAGTCTAATTAAGATAGAGTTCACCGGATAGTTAAGGAGTGGACAGCCTTTGAGCCAATAGAAATTTTTTCTCTCCTTTTTCTGACTCAACGAGTACAAATTCATATAACCTAAAACCCATCCCTTAAAGACCCTACTAACCCCCTATATGAGACAAGTCCATGTGACCCATAAATCCTTGGTTTTCAAACCCTAACCATTTCTAATTCCATATCCGCCATAAACAAAGGGATAGATGTAGGGATATTAGATGGAAGTAAACGTTTTAAAGCAATTATATATATATATATATATATGTATATATAACAAAAACCAAAGTGGGAGGAACAACTTCTGAGCGCCGCCAGTGTAATCATTCAGAATGATATAATCACAAAGGGACCAGAAGGACTAGTTCTCTCGAACTTCCCAGAAAATTTTGAAAACCAAAACTAATATGCCACTTTATCATCTAAATTGTCGAAATAATCCAGACTCCTTTATTACAGGTTATTAGATGCACAGAACCATTTTCAGAAATGTCTTCATTATTATTTATTACTTTTTAATTAATTATGATATTGCGGAAAAAGGGTTATCACTTGAAAAGAAACTTATAATTGCAATCGTGAACTTTATTAATTTTCTTGGAAATTTAATTTCAGTATATCTACATCAATCATACTCTTGCCTTCATTTCCTGCTCTCCTTCATATTCATTGCTTTAGCTCTTGGAAATAGCCGAAAGCAATTTATTAGAATCTCAAAAGTGATGTTAGCTGGCAAGGACAAGCAATTGCCTTTTCTCAAAGACGTCGTATAAGTTCGAAGGGCAAGTACATAAAAGTTGATCCTATATACTGTATAGTTACAACAATCCATTTCGTCAAGAAAAAGTAATTATTTTGCACTATACGTTACTCATTATTTTTATTTGAATAACAAGGTATTAATTTAGCTCCATGTAAGTTGACTATTAATGTAACGGACGTATTTAACAGATAAAAAAGAGTCATCATTTGGGTGATGAAACGAAAAACTTCTTTGTAATGAGATACCACACACTACTTTTTAAGTGCAAATGTATAAGATTAGCAAAAAAGAAAAAAAAAGTACAAATGTTTAAAGCACTGTCTATATTTGTCTTTTAAGAGGAAAAGATCATAAGAATGCCCAAAGCAAGTAAGCAACCCGAGAGAAAATTGACTAGTAGTATAGGGACTGTCTAAAGTGCAGCAAAAGATAGACCATTTTTCTTTAGCTTGCTAAAAAAAAAATATAAAATTAAAGGAGATTTTTTGGTACACTTAATGTACTAGTATATTAAATTTTTTTAATTGTTAAATTGTTAAATTTTTTAATTTTTATGTGATTTTATATATATCTAATAAATAAAAAAAATTTGTTTAGTTCGTAAATTTAAATTGAGATGTGATTTTATGTGAAAATTTTTTATTGTAATAAAAAAATTAAATGTAATTATTTCTAAAAATTTTTTATTATAATAAAATTTAAATTGTAAACTTAAATTAATAAAATGGATTGGATGGTGATATATGATATGTTAGCATTAAAAAATCCTTTAATTAATTGAAAAACAAATTACAAAAGATGGGAAAGGAAAAAGGAAGATTGGGAAAATGATTATTCCTCTCCGAATAGTGGAGCGGTTGGCACTAATTGGCCCAGTAGAACATCCTCGTCGCTCATTCTACAAAAAGTCCTAACCCCCCCTCGTTTGGTTTTCGAATTTTGTGTTACACTTTTAATATATTGCCCCATGCATGAAACAAATCAATCACTTTCCAATATCCGTCCCCACCAAAAGCCTCTCTCTCTCTCTCTCTCTCTCCTTGTCCTTTACTCATTATTTCTTCTGCGTGTGCAATTTATTTAATGCTCTCACTATAAATACAATAATATATATCCATCAAACCACAACACAACAAAACCGGCACTTCTACCGCTGCTCTGTGTTTTCTTTTCTTCCTTGCCTAAATTCCATTTGCTTCCTTTTCACTTCTCATCAACAACTTACTTAACAACAAACCATGGAAGAAGCATTTTCCCGTCTCAACGGCCCCATATTATCCCACTCTTCCGAACCATCCGACCCCATCAATACCACCACCACCACCTCCGACCACAACCACAAGAAGTACAACAACAACAACAACAACTCCACAAACACCACCACCAACAACAACAACAACAACAACAAGCGGTCTCTGAGGGAAAGCACAGCCGGAGGAGGCTCCGGCGGCGGCGCAATGCGGTACCGAGGAGTACGTCGCCGGCCGTGGGGCCGCTACGCCGCCGAGATTCGTGACCCGCAGTCGAAGGAGCGGCGGTGGCTTGGGACGTTCGACACGGCGGAGGAGGCCGCCTGCGCCTACGACTGCGCCGCCCGAGCCATGCGCGGCATCAAGGCCCGCACCAACTTCGTCTACCCGGCTTCTCCGCCTCCTTCCGCCGTCGTCATCGCCGACCATCTCACCACTCTCCCTCCTTTCGCCTTCACCAAACAATCTCAGCCGTCCATTAAAAGCTTCACTACTTCTAGCACTTCCGTTAATCCCTCCGCAAACTGGTCACGCTTTTCACACAGTACTTCTAATGATCATCGTCTACCGCAGAGAAACATGCTGCTTCTCCGCGACTTCATAGCTCCATCTTCTAACCCTAACCCTAACCCTAATCCATCTTTTTTCTCTCCTCAGACGCTTTATAGTGCTGATTATAACCAGTTCTCTCACAATACAAACGGCTCTTCTTCTATCTCTACTACTACTAGTAGTAGTATTAGTACTACTAATCTTCAAAATCTTGACCAGGTTAACACAAAAACAACCGTCATTACTACTGCTCAACCAGATGATGAAGATTGCTCGGAGTTCTTTCCGAAAGAGCCGTCGGATTCTGGGCTTTTGGAAGAGGTCATTCAGCGTTTCTTCCCAAAGCCCTCGTCGAAGAAGAAATGTGAGTCATCCATGGAGAGCTCTACCATTACTAGTAGTACTAGTATTAATCCCGCAGTGAGCTCCTCATCTTATGATCATGATCATGATCGGATCAATATGTCTGCAATTCAATCAATGTGGATGAAGAACAATGAGCACGATGATCATCTGGGTAATTCGTGCTTCGATTATCAAGGCCAAGGCCATGTTTCGCAGTCTGCACAGTTTGGGAACCTGAATAACATTGGAATGAATCATCAATACGTGTCGTCGCAGGCGGTGGTTCCTTTCAGTACTAATGATCATCACAATCACTTGCCAATGAACTTCCACCAGTTTGCTGCTTCTGCTGCTCAGGACTCGATGTTGTTGGATGAGATCTTCCAGTTCCCAGAGTTCGTGAGCGCCTTTGCTGCCAGGATACAGAATGCCTAGCTATTTCATCATCAGCGTAGTTATCAGTTATCACCTTCTTTGGTGCAACTTTAGTATCTGTTCTCAATTTCTGCTAGTTCTAGAGGTAGCTTCTTTTTTTTTTTTTTTTTAAATGCTTACTAATTAGTATATCATAATGTGAAAAAGCTTGGAAGTTTGTCTTTCATGGTTATATATACTTGCTCGTGCTAATTTAGGGTTTCCAACAAAGTTTAGAACTGTGTACTCTTCTGCATGTTATGGAGCTTAAATTTGATTATATCTATATCTTGATCAGGTTTAATTGTTGTGTTTTTTTGATTTATCATGTTCTGAATGATCATGACGATGTAGGTTTCAGTAATTTGAGCAAACGTCTTGTTTCTTAATCTAATTCTTTAACTAAAAACAAGTACAATTTTGTTTTCCTCTTTCAAAGGATGTTGATTGTTGTTTGGTTTCACAACTTAAGTTTTTATTTCGTTCATAGAGTTCAATATGACAAAGAAGAATCTCAGATTTTGTTTGATAGCTAAGTTTGCGTTGACCTCCGTTACCAAAAGTCTGCAGTGTTCTTCCCACACTTTCGGTTCTATGTCTGTTCATTCTTCAGCTGGACAAAAGTATTTTGTAAGTGAATCCATTGTGCGCAAAAAAAAAAAAAAAAACGGAGAGAGACTATAGAAAGGTATTTACAACTTTCTAGGGAGAAGTGAGAAGGTGCAGGTATATTAGTACTTTAGGTTACAAAGTGAATACAAAAAACAAAAATGGTAAAAGAGTAGTACCTGTGATCGTAATAGATTTAATGGACGTTCCAACAGTACCTGTGATCGTAATAGATTTAATGGACGTATTCAGAATCATAATTTAAAATAATTTTTATTTTATGTGTATTTTTTTGTGAGAAGAAAATATTATAAAAAATTATAAATTATGATTCAGAATTAAAAATGAATATACAAAATAAATATAAATCAAGATCATAATCAATCTTGTTAACTCTGATATATTATGAAGGAAAATTTTAATTTTGGTACTTGTTATATTGAAATTTGAGTTTAATATTTTATATTTTTAAAAATTTTATATCGGTACCTTGATTTTAAATTTTTTTTTTAATTTCTTGGAGTTAATTTTTGAGACAAAATAAAATTGTTATTATTGTAAAAACTCATATGTTGACAAGAATTTAAAAAAAAAATTAAAAAAGGATTTTAAAGAGATGAAATTTTTTAAAAAAGATATGCTCTACAAGTATAAAAATTTTTAAAATCTTTTTTTTTCTTAAACGAATTTTTACGATAAAGGTAATTTTATTTTTGTATGTCTCAAAAAATGGCTTTAAGGTATCAAAAATTTTTTTTTTAAAAAGACTGAGGTATTTGCATGAAATTTTGAAAAAGAGAAGATCTTCAACTCAAATTTTAATGTAATGAAAATTTTCTTATTATATAATTACTCTTTATTTCAATGTGTGTTACGCAGTTGTAAGATCAAGTGAAATTTTGTGATATTCTTACAAATATTATATTATACCTGATTAGAGGCTTAGATATAACGAATGGGTCAAGTACTCACATTTACTCATTTAGTATGTAATATTGTTTAAAAAGAAGAAGAAAGTACCAGATATAACGAATGGGTCAAGTACTCAAGTACTCACCTTTAGTATGTAATATTGTTTACAAAGAAGAAGAAAGTACTAGATATAACGAATGGGTCAAGTACTCACCTTTAGTATGTAATATTGTTTAAAAAGAAGAAAGTACACTAATAACGTCTTGGAAAAAAAGGGGTGATTTTCCTCTAGTACGAGTACACGAAAATTAAGGTGCTTTTGCTTGAATAAATACTTTTAAAGTGAATGGATTTGACCTCTAATTATTAATTAATATCGTTTTTAATTAAATAATTAAATTAATTAAAAATATATTGATAAAAAATTATGGGTAAAATTTCATCATGCATTATGAGTAAATTTAATAATTTTTTAAAAAAAAAATTTAAGATTCATTTAGTTCGTTAATTTAAATTTTTAATTTAAATTTATATGTAATTTTATGTGAAAATTTTTTATTATAATAAAAAAATTAAATATAATTATTTATAAATTTTTTTTATTATAATAAAATTTAAATCGATTAAACGTGGAGACAAAATTTGTCTCTAGCTTTCTACTCAATCCTTTCAAGAGAAAAAAGTTCTCTGAACCCTTAAAGTAGGATTTTTCTACTCCTTTATTTCTGTCTTCTAACCTTATCTTCTGATCATTTTACATCGACCTTTTCTTTTCATGTTTGAAATTTTATGGACATCCCTAATGTCTAATTTTCTTGTGTTATATTACCTCTCTAATGAATATGTTGATTTTTATGTTATTATAATTTAACATTATTAGGCTAGAGGTACAAGTAATGAGTAGTTTTCAGCTTTATTTCTATTAACTTACATTACTAGTTTATTTTTAGGAAATGCCACGGGAAAGTTATAGAAAGTTATATTGATGTATATATGTATGAGAAGATATTTTTTGTCTATTAGATATGATAAAATTATGTAAAAATTAAAATGTACGCAAGTTTAATAATTAAAAAATCTAACTTATTAGAACGTTAGATGTGTTAAAAAATTTATATTATACACATACACATACATACAATTGGATTTCTTTTGAAAAATTTCAGTAGATGAAGACACAGATTAAAAGATTTTAAAAAGGAGCTAGAAAAGAGAGAGAATCTTTACCATTCACACGCCTAAACCGCTAGCCAAATTGGGGATCATTTTGTTAATTGAGAAGAATTAATTGGAAAATACTACACTTTTAGAAGAGTTGATTAGAACTGTAAATTCAATCGATAGGGCATGGACCATCCTTATTTAGCAATTAGCGGGAGTCGTTGCACTTCTTAAGTGGACTTTGAATAGTTGGAGGTTGGGATCAAATATTTAATGACGTATTCTTTCAATAACTTTGTAATAATTACTGCCTTAATGATAGAAATTATGTGTATCCAAGTACTGATGAAAGGTTAACTACAAAATGTGCAAGTGGGTTTGGCTTGCGAAACCTAAAAACTAAAAAGCTCCTGTCTTTTTCTTACTTTTCTAAAAAGTAAAAATTATAAAGAAATAATACCGGGATGGATGTACAATGCGGACATAAGGTTGAAAATTAATGTACTATCACTAAATTAATTGAGAAGATAAGTGCTTGTTATTTTGGAGTATAATTTAAAAAAAATTAAAATTTAAGTTACAATTTTATTTAAATTCATGTTCGTTTGTAAAATTTGAGTTTAAATTTGATTTTTAACTTGAACTTGGGGCTAAAATCTGAATTCAAGTTTCTCCTTTAACTCAAGTTCTTAAACTCAAACTCAAGTGAATGAACATCATTTTTTTTTATTCTTAAAAACGTCATAACTTTTTTGTTTTAATTCTGATTGAGATGATTTTTGTTCTATGCGTTCATGATAAAGAGACGAATATAACTTCACCCATATATCTTATTAAAAATTTTCATCACCATTAAGTTTTTATTAAAATACTATCTAAATACAAATTCAAGTTTTGACCTACTCAAACACAAACTCAAATAGATTCTCAATTCAAATCATAACTCAAATGTGCACATTCAAACACAAACTCAAGTTACAACTTTAGCTCAAATTATGACTCAAATTCAACTCAAAATCTACACTCAAGTCACCATAACTCAAAAATGCAACCGAACAAACTCTAATGTTTGAATATTAACGGTTTGAAGGTGAGGAAGTTGAGGTTTAAGCTTAAGGGTTTTTCTTTCTTTTTTATTTTTGAAAAGTGTAGGAATTAATGTTTGAATATTAGCAAAAAGAAAAAAAAACAAAAAAGAAAACTAAATTTTTGTGGTAAAAGGAATTAATGTAGAATGGAGCGATCTTTGAATATCAGAAATATTAAAAATAATAATAATAAGGATTATTATAAGTTATTTAATAAATCTTTTATGTGATATGGTAAGTGATTGTCACTTTAATAAAACGTTTAGAGTCCGTTTAGTTTATAAATTAGAACTATGAGATTAGAAGTATTTTTAATTTACGTGTATTTTTTATAAAAAAAAATATTATAATAAATTATGAACTATAATTCAAATCAGAGAACAAATCAAACGTGCTCGGGTTCAATCCTAATGCAGAACGAAAGGATCAAAAGCTTTACTCGTCAGTCGTCATCTTCGACGAACGCTAATATCATCCGCACGTTTCCAGTTTTCCACATCACGGAAACTTATGATGTCGTACAAAAAAACTATTAGTTGTTCAATTTTAGATGTAGACGACATGTCGTTCATCATTCACCCTTGGTAAGAAAATAGTTAACGGTAAACGACATGTCGTCTACTCTTGACCTAAAACACCATATTTCATTTTAATTGCGTCAGTAAGGGAAACGACGTTCACTTTTGGAGGTCATGAAAGACATGTCGTTTTCTTCACTTCACTTCCGTTTGTCATAAAAGAACGTATTCCTTAGGACGCCAGTTTCATGGACACCATTCACCAAGGGAAAAGAAAGAATGCTATTTCTTTCCCCTTTTTTTAAATCAAGCACTTTAATAGATCTTATTGTGTCTGTGAGGAAGGAAAACGTCATGCAGTTTTGGAGGTCTAGAAAGTCACGTTTTCCTTTCCTTGGATGTCGTTTTTTCGTAAAAGGTGTACTCTTTATGGGATGTAGTTTTTGTGGAATGCCATCCTCCGTTAATGAGTAAAAAACGACATGTTGTTTGTCTCGACTAAACCAAAAATCAACTATACTTGTATATGAGTTCACAAATTTTTAAAACCAGCTCTAAGTATGAAAATTTTAACTCTATTACAGGCTTAGTTTTGATTCACGCCCCCTCAATAAAATTTAAAGAAAAGAAGACAAATGCCCCTTAAAAATATATATTTATTAATTTCTATCTCTTACTCTTAATGAATAATTTTTTTAGTTAAATAACTATACTAATAAAATGATATTAATAA